TCCCCAGTAGGGGGCGTGCAGGAGGCAGCTGATCAAGTTTTTCTTTCTCTCTATTCCCCTCCCTTCCTCTCTCTCTAAAATCAAAAACATTTTTAAAAAAATTAAAGTGTAGTCATACAATACTAGCAACGAAAATGAGTTAACTACAAGCTACATAAAGTAACATCTATGAACATCATGAACATAATACACACAAAATAAATCAGACACACCGGGATAAACACATGGGTATGTTCTCTTTGTGATCAATTGACAAATTTTGTGCAATTTTCAGAATGCTATACATCAATTAAAAGTTTTCAGTGCAAATCTGATAAATGCTGTCTTGAAGCAATGTTACCGTTTCTAATAGAGGTTACTTGCCTTACCAGTTTCCTCACATCCTTGCCTGAACTGAACTTATGTTTCCTTTAGGTCGTGGGGTGCCTTGTCACTTTACATGTATATTTTAATTTCTCTTCTATGGTGAGTTGTCAGCTACATTTTGAATAGTCAAGGACTAAAAATGACCTTGAAGCAGATCTTTCTTCTTCTGCAGAGAATTGCTTGAATTCCTGTCCTCAGGGACTTATGAGCAAAACTAAGCATTAGCAAACTTAAACAGTATCTTGAATGGCTTTCAGTATGATCCCTTGTGCAGAGTCACCAAGCAGGAGGCAGAAATAAGGGTTCCAGATCTGTGTGCTGGAAGGCAGTGCTAAGTGAAACAAAGAGAGTGCATTGCTAAGAGGTCTATTAGAAAATGAAAACATCTCAATGGTATATGGCCCAGGATGACTGTCCTTCAAACAGGTGTGAAAGAACTTCACCTGGATTTAATTACCACAAAAGTTGTCATAACACATAGTCTGCAATCACAAGGAAGAATCATGGGAGCTTTGGAGGACCTGTAGCCAACTGAGAACATGGAAGGCCAGGCTGTGAATGATCACTGGCATAGGAGTGCAGTGATACAAATGATAGAATTATTTAAATACACCAATCAAGAGGCCACACACAATGACTGGGCTCCTCTGTAATAATACCATCCCATCATCACACCATCATAACAACAATAATAAAACATAGCAACAGTGTCTAGAGGAGGATGGACTTCTGAACTTCCTGTCTTACTGGCTTGTGGGGTTCAAGTATTACACATGGTAAATAACTGGCACACATTATTTGTGCTCCAACCTGTATAGACCTCTGGTTTCACCCATAAATTGGCTACTCTTCTCAGTGAAATAATGTCTTAGAAACATTTTTAATGCCCTAACCGATTTGGCTCAGTGGATAGAGCATCAGCCTGCGGACTGAAGGGTCCCAGGTTCAATTCCAGTCAAGGGCATGTACCTTGGTTGCAGGCACATACCCAGTGGGGGGTGTGCAGGAGGCAGCTGATCGATGTTTCTCTCTCATCGATGTTTCTAACTCTCTATCCCTCTCCCTTCCTCTCTGTAAAAAGCCAATAAACTATATTTTTTAAAAAAAAATTTTAATATACATTATCTTCAAAACAGTCCTTTCAGATCAGCAGTCATGGCAAAGACTGCTATTTGTCCTCTAACATGAATTACTCTCTCTTCCTCAGTCACATAACTCAAAAATGTCAGGCTGCTCAAAATAAACACTGTAACCTGCTAATGTTTCATGAATTTTTGTTATTCAGTTTACCACAAAATGCATGCATATTTCCTTAGGCTTGAGCCTCATATAATTCTTCCCAGATGGATACTTACATTTTTTAAGCTGAATCGTTTTTCCAAGCCATATTAATTCTTTACATCTTTCCTGTCATCACAGGCTTTCGTAACACCTAGCGTCTTTTGAAAATTTAATCAAGATGCTATGTACATCCTCTCACAGCTCATTAAGATGTCAACATAACCATGCTGCTTATCAGCCCCTGTAGCAGATTCCTTTTATTTCATACTAGAGGCCCGTTGCAGGAAGATTCCTGCAAGAATAGAGCTTTGTGAGGCCGGAGCAAAGCAGAGAAGGTCTATTAGCAAAGTCCACCGAGGCAGGCTTCACTCCCGTCTCCGCTGCCTCACTCCCTCCTGGCTCCGCCGTCCCGCTCCCTCCCTTCTCCGCTGTCTCGCTCCCTCCCGTGTCCACTGCCTCAGCTCCGCTCCCGTCTCTGCTGCCTCGGCTCTGTTCCCTTCTCCGCAGCTTCGCTCCCTTCTGCAGCGCTTGGCTTCCTTCTATGCTGTCTTCAGTCTTCGCTCCGCGCCTGTGTATGCAAATTAACCGCCATCTTTGTTGGGTTAATTTGCATATCACTCTGATTAGCTGGTGGGCATAGCGGAGGGATGGTCAATTTGCATGTTTCTCTTTTATTAGTGTAGATTATTCTCAAGGAAGGTTCAGTTGACAGTCTATTTTTATTAAGATTGGGCTGAATTTTTAAGTCAAACTGCAGGATTACACAAAATATTTATAAAAATACATATTTATAAAAATACATATTTATAGAAATCACCTTTATTCTCTTTAAAAAATACAGAAGTAAAAATAAATTTGTCTGACTGAAGTCCCTTCCTTTCTCTCTCCTTCACTAAACCATTGTTTGCTGATAATAATCCCAACATATAAATTGCTTAATTTTTCTTGATCCCAATGAAATCTTAATTCTCTTTATTAAGTGTCATGAATTACCAGACAGCCTGCATGTGAATTAATCTAAGGTCTATTGACTTTCCTATCAGACCTCTGCTCCACACTCTGTCACCACACATATGCACTAATGGGATATATATTTGGATCACTACCTTTCCAACCAGTTCTGTACCTACTCTGAGCTTAGAGAACTTACTTCATTTTTAAAAAATTTTCTGTTACCACATTCTTATTCAGCATCTCTTAAATATCAGAATTGTGGCAAACCAAGGTCAAACCTGCCTACAAAAAGTCCCTAAATAGACACATACAGAAAAGTCCTAAATCCCTTTAATGGATAATATATATCACAAGCTCAGAAAAAGTTATCAATATATAAGGTGTACAATGATTTTCAAAAATCAGAGTCAAAAATTAGAGCTAAGTGACTTGCTGAGTGACAAAATTATTAATTTACATAACAGTATAGTGTTTCTCTTTTAAGTGTTTCTCCTTTGTTTCAGATTCCCCAGATGGGCAAACAATGTCATGACTTGGAGGTGGGCAAAAGTTTCTTAAGACAGAAAATAATAACTATGAGTAAAATACTGGGAAATTAGATTGCTTCAAAATTAAAAATCCATGCTCATTAAAAGGCATCATTATAAAAATGAATAGGTAAGCCACAGACCAGAAAGAAAATAAGTGTGCAAAATACCTGTTTTACAAAGGATCAATATCCAAGATAAATAAAGAACTCCTCCAACTTAATAATAAAAAGACAAATCCAATAAAATATGGGCAAAAGATCTGAAGAGACACTTTACAGAGGGAGATAAACAAATGGCCAATGTGCACACACAAAAAAAGTACTCAACATCATTAATCATCAGGAAAATGCAAATCAAAAAACCATAAAAATCACAATTACCCATTGAAAATGGACAAAATTAAAATGTTTGACCACCTTCCCCCACTACTCTCTTGGAGTCTTTCACAAGTGTAAAACTCAATTGTAATCAATTTGTGATGTGAGGTAGATTTTAATGAAATGGTGTTGGGCCTTAAAGGAGTAAACAAAAAATACATTCAAACAAAAAATACACCCATTCCACATATTTGGCTCCTGCAGCCTTTACCCTCAGCAAGGAAGAGTGACTAATCTAAAAAGTCAGAATTTGGTATTAATTTGGCCACATTTTATTAGAATGTGAGATCACTGAGTTAAGCCAGCCAATGTTCTTGTCAGCTTCTTACCTCCTTTTAGGTAAGGAGACCTACCAGGTCTTGACTTTCTCAGGGCTACCAATAATAGGCTGTTACACTGGTCAAAAGGTCTCATTTATGCTACGTGTTGGGTAAGGAGTCTAACAATCTGCTTTGCAAATCTCGTCAAGTCTCTGGGCAGCAAGGTAGATTCAGGGTGGGAGTTTCAGGCTTAAGCTATGTTCTCCAGTATAGCTTTCTCCTAAGATCCTTGAACTGAAGGTTTTAGGAAACTTGCATAGATTTTTAAAGTTTGTACCAAAGTCCCATTTGGACAGTAATTATTTAGTTCACACTCTATCAGTCAAAACACCTGATGAGTTCTGAATGGGTAACTCAAGAAAACTATATTTTTTAAATCATAAAAATAATGTAATACTTCATTGGTGCTAAATAACTTATTTTAATAGCTTTGTCTTTAACACAGTGTATAACAAGATTCCTGCCATTTCAACTACAGTCAAACCCAAACTTTAAAACTAAGTCAACAATTAATTAGTAACGTTAATTTTGAAAAGTACAAGAGTATCAAATGTAACAAAGAACTCATATTTTTAATGCCTTTTGTCACAATATTAAAAATAAACTTCTTAGTATACAAAAGCTATCAAAGGTCCTACCCCACACCCCAGAAACCTTTTTTTAGCAAGTAAAAGTATAGTCCCTGCTGGTGTTTGTATTTGTTTAAAATGTTTTTAAACTTTTAATTTGAATGTGATTTGAGTACTTAGCCATCCAAAAATGTTGGATACATACTAATTCTTTGCAGGTAGGCAGGTTCATAGTCTGGATAGAAGAAATGTCAGTCACAGAATTTTAAAGTCATAACTGGACTTTTAAACTATAAAATAAAGCAAGAAAATCTAGAAGGAACCAGACATAATGTCATCAGTTTTCACTCAAGTGGACTACCATATGAGATTTTAGTTTCTGTTTCTTGGTTAGCTGGTTACTGCCCAAGGCACAAGGACAATTCTCATAAGAGCTGAGCATTTTCGCATAAGGGTAATTATTTTTAATTTAAAATAAAATTAATAATATATGTACATACATATTAAAATACAACATAAACACATACAAACTAGTCAGAAACATTTCAACTAGAAAACTAAAAATTTCCCGTTAGAAAAGAGACATAAAAGGAAAATTTTTAAATTAAAATAATACTTTTTGTTGAATCATTAAGATATTACCATCAGTGTATTCAAACTAACTCAGATCAGAAAGAATATGTGAAATGCTGAGAATAATTTCTCCTATAGTAAAAAAACAAATGAGTTTTAAGGAGAGAAAAAAAATATTAGCTTCTCAACTGAAACTTACAAAGCAAAATATAGGATTAATAATTTATTAAAAATCATACCCCTGATTTTCTTTTGAGAAGAAAGCAACGGTATAAACAGGGCATGAAATAGACTTCGAAACTCATGCTAATACTCTGTTCTCACTGAAAAAAACTACTAGAAAAAAACTAATAAAATTTCAGATATTTCCATTTAAGGTGGGCGAAATATACAATGTTTATATCTGAGATATAAACTAGTAATTTACTTTCTTTGCAATATAAAGTGATTTAGGTAAAGTTTACTTTTCCCAGTGTTCAAAATAAAACAGGAATTGTTTTCCATATCTAGAAATTATAATGGTAATGTGAAATAGAAGTTTAATTTTGCTAAACTAAAGCTCAAATGGATTTTAAAATATCTAAAGAAAACAAAAAGGATTTAATTGTTGTAATTTTGCAATGATAATAGGTTCACTTTCTCTAACACTGAAAAATCTAGCCTGCTTTTATCAATATAAAACTATAAAATAACCACAATATTTTTATATAATTTAGAAGAACAATTTCACATGATACACTCATAACACTGGAGAATTACAATCCAGAAAGGGATCGTCTCCCTGAAATAGAAAGAAGTTCTTTCTTTTTGTCACCTCCATTCCTTATGTATAATCTTTATTTCACATCATTTACAATAGAAATATTTATCACAATCTGATAGATAAGAAATTTTTTTGCCTTCTAAAGCTCATCAAGTAAATTTACTCAGTCTTCTTAGTGCCCTTCTTTTTAACTTTATCTGAAATAGCAGCTGTAGACTTTGTGGTCGATGTGCTTATTTCACTTTTCTTTTCACATGGTAAGAACTGCTGCTGCCAGCCAAACAATATTCGACTTACTGTAGCCTCAAAAGGAGCAAAAGGCACAATAGTAGTCTCTGTAGTCATCATGATTATCTGGAAAAAAAGTTTAATTTCAAATTTAAATACAAATGTTTATTCTCAAACTAAAAGGGATAAGTAATAAAAAAAATAGAGAAAAAATTCAAAATGTGTTCTTTTTTTATTGAGATGTAATCAACATATAACATGCTAGTTTCAGGTATACAACATATGATTCCATATAGGTACATACTGGAAATGATAACAATTAGTCGAGTGAACATCCATTATCATAGTTACAAAAAAATTCTTTCTTGTGATGAAAATTTTTAAGATCTACTCTCTTAGCAACTTTCAAATATGCAATATAGTTTTATTAACTATAGTCACCATGCCCAATAACTTACTTTATAACTCGAAGTTTGTACCTTTTGACCCCCTTCACCTATTTGGCCCACCACTACACCCTGCCTCTGGCAACCACTAATCTCTCTTCTCTGAATCTATGAATTTGGTGTGTTTTCTTAGTTTTAGATTCTATATGTAAATGAGATTAAACTATATTTGTCTTTCTCTGTCTTATTTCACCTAGCATAATGCCCTCAAGGTCCATGCATGTTGTCACAAATGGCAAGATTTCATTCCTTTTTATGGTTGAATATTTCATTGTATACATATTCATCATATAGCCTTCATTCATCTTTTGATGGCCACTTAGGTTGTTGTCAGATCTTGGCTATTGTAAACAATGCTGCAATGAACATGGGGTTGGCATATACTTTTTTGTTGTTGTTGTTAAAATATATTTTTATTGATTTCAGAGAAGAAGGGAGAGGGAAAGAGAAACAGAAACATCAACGATGAGAGAAAATCATTGATCAGCTGTCTCTTACATGCCCTCTACTGGGATCCAGCCTGAAACCTGGGCATGTGCCCTGACCGGGAATCAAACCGTCCTGACCTCCTGGCATTTTTGACTTAGCATTTTCGTTTTCTTCTGATAAATACCAGAAGTAAAATGTTAAATCATATAAAAGTTTTATTTTTAATTTTCTGAGGAACTTCCACACTGTTATCCATAGTAACTATACCAATTTACATTCCCACCAACAGTGAACAAGGTTCCCTTTTCTCCATATCCTCACCAAGACTTGTTATTTCTTGTCTTTTTTATAATAGCCATTCTAACAGGTGTGGGGTGAGATCTCCTTGTGATTTTGATTTGCATTTCCCTGGTATGATGTTGAGCATCTTTTCATGTACCTGTCGGCCATGTGTATGTCTTCTTTGTAAAGAAAAAAATCTATTTAGGTCCTTTGCCTAGCAAACAGCAACAGCTGGAATGCTAAAGAGCGGAGCAGAGACTTCAGCAGACAGGTTGAAGGTCCAGGCTGGGCAAGGTGAAACTGCCCAGAGATGCACTTCAGGTTTACATTGAGACCCCAAAACGGTCACATTCCAGAAGGCAAATCTGAATAGAACAACACTAACAAGGACTAAACGTAGCCATCAAGAGGATTTAAATAATCTGTTTGTGCCTTACACCTGGCTGCTAGAAAAATGTTGAATGTAGTCCCTGCCTTCAAGGACCTTACAAACTAGTCAGAGACAAGCAAGTAAATCAGTAATTATAGAGAGAAGTGCAGTAACAGAGGTTTGTCCAGAAACATTTAAGTACAAGATATAGATTTGGAAGTCATTACCATACAAGTAGAAGGTAAAGACATGAATATGAATGTGCTCACCTGGGGAGAATTCAGTAAAAAAAAATCCAATCCAAGTTTATTGGGTAATATCTAAGAAAAATTTCCTTATATTAAACTATTCTTCGGATTAAATACTTACAGTAAGAGCTAGCAAAATTATTGACTTCATGGACTACAAATAAAAGATAAAGAATACAGGTCTAGCCAGTTTGGCTCAGTGGATATAGTATCGGCTGTGGACTGAAGAGTCCTGGGTTCAATTCCGGTCAAGGGTACAGACCTTGGTTGCAGGCTTGATCCCCGGCCGTGGTCGAGGAGTGTGTGGGAGGCAACCAATCAATAAGTCTCACATTGATGTTTTTCTCTCTCTGTCTATCCTGCTCCCTTCCTGTCTCTCTAAAAATCAATGGAAAAATATCCTCAGGTAAGGATTAACAAAAAAATATAAAAGAATTCAGATAAAAAACATTTGCCTACTGTCAGAAAAACAGCATTTTTTTAAAAAAACAATATACACAAGAGAAGAGGGCCAGGATCTAAAGTATTTCCTGAGAACGTGAACTATAGCAAGTATTTTTCAAATCGAGTGTTTTAATAGAAGCTCTACTCCCAGTAGAGTCATCACTCAGCCAAGAAGTATTGCCAACATCAGGAGTTATTGCTGAAATAGACTCAGGAGGTTCAAGGACGGGCTTCTGTGAATTTAGACTCTTATTAGGCCTTGATTCAGCAAGGTGATACAAATATAATAGTGAAAAATGGAATGACCCCTTACTCTTTTACAAATAAAATATAAAACAATCTTCTTATTTAGCAAACTATTAAAAGAAAAGGCCTATTACCTAAATTGAATAACATTTGACTTCAAGTGACAGCCTTATAATACTTATATATGGAAATGTAAAAGACTTAGAATATACAAAGAAACCCTGAAAAAGAACAAAGTTGGGAGTACTTATATCACTTAAGGTCAAGACTTAGTATAGTTATAGTTGTTAAGAAAGTTTGGTATTGGCTAAGGATAGACATATAAAGCAATGGAACAGCACAGAGTCCAGAAAGAGACCCACACCAGTTGTAAGAACAATTGACTTTCAACAAAGGTGCCAAGATAATTCAATGAGAGAAAGGATAGTCTTTTCAACCAATAGTGCTAAAACAACTTTATATTCATATGAAAAAAATAACTTAACCCTTACCTCCTGCCAATTATAAAACTTAATTTGAGATGGCACACAATGCAATATACAGATCGTGTATCATAGAAATGTATACTTGAAACCCTATATGATCCTATTAATAAATGTCACCCAATAAATAAAAATATTTTTAAAGAAATGGATCATAAACCTAAATGTAAAAACAAAAACAATAAAACTGTAAGAAAAAAATGCAGGTGAAAAATCTTTACAACCTTGAGATATGGTAGAATTTTTTAGCTAGGACACAAGAAAGCAGAACCATAAAAGGAAAATGATAAACTGAACTTCATCAAAATTAAAAACTTCAGCTCTTCTAATGACAATTCTAAGGAAATAAAAAAAGAAAGCCACAAACTGGGAGAAAAATAATGGCTATATATATATGTACCTCACAAAGGTCTGGTATCCTGAATATATAGAAAACTATTACAACTCAATAATAAGATAATCCAATTTTTTTAAGTGGGCAAAAGATTTGAACAGACACTGCCCCAAAGATGATAGATAAATGGTCAGTATGCACATGAAAAGATGCTCAACATCATTAGTCATCAGGAAAATGTAAATCAAAATAACAATGAGCTGCCACATACCCACTAAGATGACTTTAATGAAAAAGACAAGCATTGGCAAAGATGTGGTGAATTAGAACTCTCATATATTGCTGGTAGAAATGTAAAATGATAAAGCCACTTTGGTTAATTCCTCAAAGTTCCTCAAAAGATTAAACATAGAATTACTATATGATCTAGTAACTCCATTCCTATAGGATATACCCAAGAGAAATGTAACACATGTCCACATAAAAACTTGAACATGAATGTTCATAGCTCATTTTTATATTGGCCAAAAAGCAAAAGAACCCAAATAGCTATCAAGTGATGGATAAATAAAATGTATTATAATAAACCCTTGATTTTGCAGATCTCAATTTAACAGACTTCAGATTTAACAGACAAAATTTCTGGTCCAAATGTCATAGGTGAAAATGCTTTTAACCAAGATTTGCTTATAATTAAATTAATAGGTTATTTTTTGTTATTAATTCACTGTTATTTTTTAAAATATATTTTTATTGGTTTCAGAGAGGAAGGGAGAGGGAGAAATAGAAGCATCAATAATGAGAGAGAATCACTGATTGGCTGCCTCCTGTATGCCCCACCCTGGGAATTGAGCCTGCAACACAGGCACATCCCCTGACCAGGAATCAAACTGTGACCTCCTGGTTCATAGATTGACACTCAACCACTAAGCCACACTGGCCAGGTGATTCACTGTTATTTTTAACAAATTTTAGCGTATAGGCCATATGTTTGAAAAAAACACTGTAGTAATTTCACCGACATCAATATTACATATCTACAACCATAGTCTACATATTTAAATCCAAGAGTCACCTCTGGTAAACAATGTTTGATAAATGATTAGCATATGATCACACCACATCACGCATACTATAATTGGTTCTGTTGTTGCGTGGCATGACTTTCTGCAGCAGTTTTAACTCGTGCCTGCAGGCTAATGTCCCCATGTACGCTAAGCCAAGCCCCAGCTGTGTTACTCACAGTGACTTGTGAATACATGCATTTACTAGACCTATTCGGTATAAATTTAAAATTATTGTAATACAAACAGAAAACTTTTCTGTGAAATGAAACTTTTCATACATACTTAATTTTAATTACACAAACATGTCTACATAAGTAAAAACAGGTAAACTAACTTTTCAATTTTTTAACATATGCATTTGTTATTATATAACGGACTTTTTCGGCTTTAAAGGACAACCCCTCACCTGAATCAGTCCATTATATCGAGATTTTACTGTATATCCACAGACTGGAATATCATTTGGCAATAAAAAGGAATAACGTACTGATACATACAACACTGATGAACCTCAAAATCCTTATGTTAAGGGAAAAAAATCAGTCACAAGACCACATATTATAGTATCCCATTTACATAAAATATCCGAATAGGTAAATTTATAAACAGAAAGTAGATTAGTAGTTGCCGACAGCTGGGGGATTAAAGGAAAATATGAAGTGACTGCTAATGAGTATGAGGTTTCTTTTGGGGGTGATGAAAATGTTCTAATATCGATTGTGGTGATGGCTGTACAACTCTGTGACTATACTAAAAACCACTGAATTGTATACTTTAAATGGATTAATTGTATGGTATGTAAAATATATCTCAGTAGAGCTGTTACAAAGAAATACATACAGCCCCAAATTTGAGGACTGGAAGAGGAAGGCACATGTAAAGAGATGTTGCTTCAGATATCAAGTAATGCATTACTTGAATTACCACCACAGATAACCTCCATTGCAGAGACCACTGAAGCAGGAATAAATGATCTATATAGTGGCTTGGTTCTTTCTAAGACATAAATGTATGTAACATATACTGTTTCCTTTTAAGAATCCTGTACATAAGTTTTAGCCAAAAATATCTAGGCTGAGAAACAGCTGTAAAATTTTTCTAGGCCTAAATAGTGAACTTATTTCAAAATCAATTGCCTAGCTTTGAATAGGAAACAATCCTATATAATAAAAGGCTAATATGCAAATCGACCGAACAGCGGAACGACAGGTCGCTGTGACATGCACTGACCACCAGGAGGCAGATGCTCAATGCAGGACCTGCCCCCTAGTGGTCAGTGTGCTCCCACAGGGGGAGTGTCACTCAGCCAGAAGCCGGACTCATGGCTGGCAAACGCAGCGGCGGTGGTAGGAGCCTCCCCTGCCTCTGCAGCAGTTGGACATCCCCCGAGGGCTCCCAGACTGCGAGAGGGTGCAGGCCAGGCTGAGGGGACCCCCCCAACACCCCTCCCCGAGTGCATGAATTTCGTGCACCAGGCCTCTAGTATCTAATAATGGTAAGAATACCAATAATCAGAATTAGCCTCACGATATAGCTACAAATAGAATTCATAGGATGTGTCAGACGCAGTAATAGAATGGCATATGTCATCTCCAATCCTCTCAACAATGATAGAATGAAAATGAGGAAATCAGGATTTAGAGACATTAAGTGACTTGCCTATTCAGGGATTAGAGAGTAAAGTTAGGTGTGAACTTAAGACAATCTGTCTCAAAAAACTGTGATCTTATACTATCTCCTATCTTCAAGAATGAATAAAGCTTTGAACCAGACAATAATAATAAAAGAGATTGACCACAAATGTCCTAATATAAAATTTCTAAATTTTAAAGTTCAAAAGAACCTCAGAGAACATCTACCCAAGTACCTCATTTTCCAAATGAGATGACACTGTCTCTGCAGTCTCTGATCAGCCTTGGCTATTTTCACTACTCTCTGGCCTCCAATATACTCTGAGGCTATCTGCAAGTCTTTCCTGGTAGCCTCAGCATAAATCAAATGAGAAATCAGGAGAGATAAGTTTCAGAAAGTCATGGATTTGCTGAATAAATTCCCCAAAGTTCATCATTTTAGACTGTAATAACAATAAAAAATAAATGTTCCTGTTACTTGCCTCATATGCAGAATTCTGATTACACAGAATCTGTAATACTGATTTATTGCTACTTTGAACTCTTACCTTTGTGACCACAAGAAACATAGTGTAGAGGAACACAAGATCATGCCTTGATATTTGCAGGTGCTCGGTGTGCTGGAATGTGAAGATAATTGACCCCAGCAGGGTTACCTTGGCAGGGCTGAAAATAAAACACACTTTAAGTCAGTAAGTCATTAACTAAATATAGACCTATGTCTATATTTCTCAAAGAGTACCCTACAAAATACTAATTTAACGAGTTACTAATAGATATAACACAAAATGAGCTCTGTGAAATGCTAAGTTATATAAACCGGAATCGAACCTGGGACCCTTCAGTCCGCAGGCCAACGCTCTATCCACTGAGCCAAACCGGTTTCGGCAGAGTACAATTCTTTATGCAATATTTCTGGAACATATTTGACCACATAACACTTTCTCACGAAGGATCTGGAAATCCCATGTTTGTCAGCATAATTTGGGGCAAGTAGATTAGTCCTGAAAAACCTTACGATGCTAAACAGGCTGCTTGGATGGAATGGGGTTAGGAAAAGAAAGCCCCAATTTGTAGAATTTTCTCATTTCCATTGTGTAAATATTCCCATCACAACCAACTTCAGGCTGCTGTGTAAAGGGAAGAGATATACACAATTGGCTCTCATAAAACAGTATGAGCTTGCTCCAGCCCATTACTTAGCTAACTCCAGCACAGAATATTTGCATTAGCTAATATCTTAATAAATTAATGCTGAATAGTTCAAGTCTGTAAGATGTTAATCTACAAATAAGAAGCACTACTTTAATGTATGTTTGCCACACATTTAAAGCATATCTCAGTAACAGATCATTATCTAGCCCTTTATGATGACAACTAGAAAAATATAAATAATAAACTTAGAATGTAAAAGCCCCTATCAGCCATTTTATGAAAAATTAGTTATTAATTTCATTATTACAAGCTAAGAACTGAGTTCAAAGCAGAGTTCGGTTTGGGCAACAGGGGTTTGGACTTTGCTTAACAATGATCCGGCAGCATTCCTGTTTTGGAAAAGTAGTCTCTAAGCTTTTTAATGTGTATCCAGCCCTATTGGTAAAGGAAGTATTTAAGACACTCCCTAAAATATATTTATCAATTAATTTGTAAATTATATACATGTACAACTGTTATTATAAAATGTACACCAAGTTGACATTTTAACAAGTTGAGATAAAAAACAAATGAAAGTAGGTTTGTCTTCATGTCATTTTGCTATTTTTTGTTTCTAAAAATTTGGTGTCTGTACCACAGTGCCTCATCATGGGCATCCTCTAGTGCACACAAATTCCATTCTGGATTGGGTTCTCTTAAGAGCATATATCCAGAAGCAATGAATCTGAGGAAAAATTATTGTAGACAATAAATTGGAGCAGGAAATTGGAAAAGGGCTGGGATTTAGTCAATGAGGGTGGTTAGCAAAGTCAGGAAGCATTTAGGAAATTCTTATAGTAGTTTCCTGTGAAACGAGTAAATAAGCTACCTGCTTCCAAAATACAGTGGTGGAATAGGCCTAGAATAACAGTTACAGGCATTCTCATTCCAAAAGGGAACAAAAAACAGAAGAAAAAAGTGGTCACTGGTCCTACACAAGTTCAAAATCCAGAGGGCAAATTCCATTAGGTTTTGAGGTCTGAGAACAATCTTCTATGTGGCTTGAAGCTGTGTCCTCTGAGTCTGCAGTTCCAACCTCTGCACTCAGGGCTCTGGCCTTTACACCTGTGACTCCAGCCTGTGTGCCTGGCCTCAGACCTCTAGGCTCACATCTCTCACCTTAAAATAATTCATCCTTTTCCTTGAAGGGTAGCACATGTTTGAAGCTGAGCAGTTTTATCAGCTTGTTTCCTGCCTGTAGAATTTTAGGAGTCTGACAGCTTTCTTTTATTTCATCTTATCTCTGTCTCTTTCAGTCCAAGCTGGCAATGTTTCTGCTGAAATAACATTTTCAAAGACCTTATGGGTCTCCTGTGTATGACACAGGAATCCATGCCATTAGTCAAAATGGTCCTTCACAAATCCCATCTCTGGTCCTGGTTTCTGTTGTGATAGCTCAATGGATCCATGTGTCCCATGCCTAATCTCTTTTAACACTAGCAAAAATTGTCCAGCAACACCCTTGACTTTCTCTCCACAGCAGGCTTTCCTAAGAACAAGTCTATTAATTTTATCATCTTTTCCAGTCTGGATTGGCTGAGAATTTCCTAAATCATCAAGTCTTGGTTTCTTTATTTAGCAGTCATTCCCTCAAGTCAAATCTTTCCTCTCACACTTCATTATAAGCAGCAAGGAAAACCTAGTCCAGAACTTCAACAATTTGCTTCTACATGCCCTCAGCTAACCAACCAAGTTCATTGCTTACATGTTATGCTTTCCACAATTCAGCTGTTTTCTGCCACTATATATGGTAACTGTATCATCTCTCCAGTTTCTAATATCATGTTCCCCATTTCCTTCAGAGCCCTCACCAGCACCTCTAACATTCATATTTCTACCAACATTCTGTTTATGACAATATATGTATTCTCTAAGACCAAATAGATTTTCTCTGTTATGCAAAAGTATTTGGTAATATATATATGAAAACTTAAGTATATGCACACAATCACAAAATATCATAATGGACAAAAATATCATAATTGCCCGACAAATTGTCAATTATTTCATTCATCTAATATTTATTGTCTACTATATGGTAGATGCTTGGGATACAAAAGAAAAAAAAAATCCCTGTCCTTGGCATCTTGTATTCTTTGAAGGAAGTGGGGTGGGGAGGTGAAGCCAAGGGGAGAGAAGAATAAACACAATAAGTAAATGATAGAATATGATAAATGCTGTGTGAAAAAAAAGAATAATAGAGGGATATGCTCCCATTTTAAGCAGGGTAGTCCTCACTGAGGTGAGCTTTGAGAAAATACTTTGAACAAAGTAGATAGGGAGGTAGCAACCTGAGAAAAAAATTCTAGGCAAAGAGAAAAGCTAGTGTAAACCAGACCACAGCAGGCTTTTTCAAGAACAGAGTGTAGTGAACAAGGGAGAGAAGAATAAGAGATGAAGTCAAAGCAAACTGGGTGTGGGGGACAGACAGATCTTAGAGGGCCTTATAGGCCATTTCAGGGGTCACTGCAAGGTTTTGAACAGAGGAGAAACATAATTTGATTTTGGTTTTAAAGCCTCAAGAAATGGCTTATGAAAGTATTTCAAGGCATGCACTCAAAATGAGAAAAATTTCCCCTTAATTACACTAATGCCTTATTTATAACTTATCATCATCCAAAACCTTCTTTGTTCTATTTCTGAACTGCCTCAATTCAAGCTTTAAGGAATACTTTCCAAGTTAAATATCCTGGAATTTGTTGGTTCTCAAACATACCTCACCACCCATACTGCTTCTCCACCTTCATTTATAATCCATTCTAATGAGCTTATTTTCACACGAAGTCTTTCCTTGCCTTGCTTATTATGGCCACTATTCCCTAAACCTTTTCCTTCCTGAATTGTGGGAACGGAAACTGTACTTCTCTGTTTCATTTTCAGGTACATTAGGGATACATTTTTGACTTATTTAAAACTGAGTCAGTGTCATTAAAGAATATCTAACAATTAGATTTTCTTAAGTGGACACAAAAGGTAGTATGCGTCCAACAAGTATACAATAGGTTATTTCCTCTAATCTTTTTCTTATTGTTATGTACAATTAAACTTGACTTTCATTTTTAAAGCAACTAACAGGGCTTTATGACAACGCTTTGATTTGTTCTCTTAAATTTGACATTTTACTAACAGAACTATGTAAATTTGAAATCTGGGTGATTTCATTAATGAAAATACCAAGAGCCTGCAACTGATTCATTTCCATTTAGAGAAGTCTGTGCCTATGCAATTCTCTCTCCATAAATTCATACTCCTCTCACAATTCTATAACAATCTAGAAATTTTTGTTTTATTTTATTTCCTAAAGAAAGGAACCCACAAATAAATGAATCAATATATATTTTTAAAACTACATTTGAGAGAGCAGTCTTTTTGAAAGAATAAAGTTTGCTGGTTTTCTTCCCATTATCATCACTATTTTTTTCACGTATATTTCATCCATATCTAGAATCCATAAAATGTTTTTAAAAATAAATTTGGTGGGATCTAAGATTAAAAAGCCAGATTCTCAGTATAGTTTATACCAACTCACTAGGACATCTTCATCCATTCATCAGCTTGTGGTTTCCAATCTCCTTTTACCAATAGCTCAAAATTTGTGATAATGCTACCACCTGCACCTAAAAATAAGAAAATAAAACAAGAATATTTAGCCAAATTTTCTAAAGAAATATTTAAAACAAAGCCATAATTTTACTTCCTGACCTAAAATCCCGAGAGGATGAAAAAAGTTGCCTTCCCCTTTGGGGAAGAAAAAAGTTAATGGTACTGACACTATTGCAGTTCTTCTTCCCTTTCAGCATATGGCAACTGTCTATTGTCTAATAATTAAATTAAAATTGGGTCCTTATGCACAGAGATGTGGCTAGAGGTTTGTTTCAGACCTGAAAAATAAAATCCTCTGTTTTACTATTTCCTTCCCTGATATTAGTTTTAGGTGAAATACACTATAATAGGAGATTGGAGAAATTTGTTCAATTCCTACATACAAAAGAACTCAACAATAAAGGTAAATAATGCAAAGTAAACATGAACCCATAATCAATCATATTTCCCATTTCCAGTTATTCAGAATTTTAAAAAACACACAATTTTTTTTACATGCAGCACATAATTTCTTATGTAAACTTGGTTTATGTATGATGGCACTACACCTTAATTAATTATGAATCCCTCCAGTTCTGGGGCTGCTAATGAAACCAATCATAAAAATTTTATATTGTAAGACAGTTGGGCTCAAAATAATGGCTGATGGCTATACTAGTGAAAAGTGCTAGTTTTGAATTAACTTTAGTAGCCAACAGGAGCAAGGCTTCCATCCTCCAAAAAGACATTATTAAAGTACTAGTATATGGTCCCCATTAATATAACTAGAGAACTGTTCAGTAGTTGTAGTACACCAATAACAACATTTATGAACATATACTGTTAATATTACCTCGGGCCCATCCAATAGCTATCATGATTATCCAGCCATTTTTGTAATGGCTATTAGCATGTGTGACTCCACCTACTATTTTCCAAGTTCTGGTCACTTCCTTCATTCCTGCAGCCAAGAGTTGAACAGGTAGGAAAGAATAGCCCTGGGAAACTAGGTCACATGGGCAAAAAAAAACAATATACCTGAAATTAAAATTTAAATATTTTTATAAATGGAATCAGAACAGAAATAACAATACAGCTTGTCAGCAATAACAATTTGGCAAAACACAACAAACATAAATATAAATTCCATATAAACATGGAATTTTACTTCAAGAAGACTACAGATTGAGTAGAATAATTTTTTTTTAAATCCCATGAAATACATATAATAATCTGCCGAAAAGCCATGGTCTGAGGGAAATTTCATCTTGTTTAAACTTCTGAATACTCTATATATGGAAAAATTATTTACTGAGTTCCTAATTTGTGCCTATACTCTTCTAGAAGCTAAGTACTAAATCCACTAAAAAAAATAAAGCAAATTTATAATCACTTTAGGGTAAGGGCTCCTCTAGGTAGAGTGCCTTTTTCTCTAGAAAAGCTGAGCAAGGACTGCATTTCAACGCCCTAACATCTTCACCTGTGCCCCTTTGTACAGTACATAAACTGCATCCTATACAAAGAAAGGTCATAGCTCTCAAGGAGACAGATTTGTATTAAGGAAAAACATGTTTTCATAGAGCTGAAAGAATATGAAGCTTGTTCTTCAATTCAGTTGAGTAAGATTAAGTTTTAACCAATTAAATTGTGATACTAGTTTAAGATAATTCACTCCTCCTCAGGTGAATTATTTTTTGAAGCTTCATTTGTTCTAAGCATTTGTTCAAACAGTTTAGCAGTAGTGTTAAATTGGAAAACACTCTACATTTCTCCCCCCATTCCTAAAAATACTCTCTAGCTGACAATTTTGTGCTTAAAGCAGAACGTATCTTCTTTCTAACAGAGTGGTATGGAATACACTGTATGAAAGAAGTATTATATTTCTTAAAAAAGAAGTTGACAATCTTATTGCAATTCATGATTCATAAAGTAAGAATTCCCAAAACTATGCATGGAATATGAAATCCATTTGCCAAAATACTGCTTCAGAGACCCTATACAAGATGCTATGGTTTGTTCAGCCTGAGGCATTCTTTCTTCTTTATCTCCACCTATCAATTTCTTCTAATTCTTTAAGGTCCCACACTCAAATACTAGTAGTACCATATACACTGACTCTGGGAGTTTTGCTTTATTCTCAGTTCAAATTAAATTCTAATGGCTCTTAACAAATAAACAATTGGTTCCTATACCTAAACATAGATCCCTCTTAATACATTTTCCTTTATAATACGCAGGGTGGGGCAAATGTAGGTTTACAGTTCGTATAGAAAATAATACAATAATCTATATATATATTAAGCCTAAGCGACTGAATGACCGGTCGACTGGTTCCTATGACGCACTCTGACCACCAGGGGGCAGACACTCAACGCACAGGACTGGGCTCCCTCTTGTCTGGATCAGGCCGAAACTGGCTATTTGGCATCCCCCTAGGGGTCCCGGATTGCGAGAGGGCGCAGGCCAGGCCGAGGGACCCCACCAGTGCACAAATCCGTGCACTGGGCCTCTAGTTATTAAATAATAATACAAGAATAAACTCTGTGTTTTGTGTACTCACAGCTGTAAACCTCCTATTGCTATACCCTGTATAAGGCTGCAATTCTCATTATAACAGACTTTAGATGGCAGGAATAATTAATCTTGTTATCCCCTCACCTAAAACTCAGCACAATGAAAAGTAGTCCTGAATTAAATCACTTATTAGCAGTTAATCTTCAGGCAAAATACAAAATAAGTCAAATCAAAGAGTAAGTTGATAATTAAAAAGTTTGAGAGAAAGGAATAACTACCTGAGATAGTAAAAATCTTTTTGAAAATAACTGGCATGTTTTAAAAATTTTACATGTTCATATAATATTTTGAAAGTCTCTATACACTTCTCTCTTTAAATATAGAACACATTTCTAATAAGTTAGATATTGGGGAGGGGGAATGAGTTATACTTAAATAAGCAATTTTAAAATGTACTTTTAAATAAAATTAAAATATTTTGGTATCCACTGTAGACCAGATTAAGAAAGGGGATTTGGTTTCTAAAGTAAAACATTCAAACAAACAACAAAAACAAAAATACAAATGACCCCACTTTCATTCTCTACACTGAGACTATATCCAACAAATTAGAAACCTATACTATTACAAGAGCAATCTTGGACTTTTTATATTCAACTATGTAACATTATGACATACAATCCAAAATTTGTAATTATTGCTATTTTTAATAAATAAGTCTTTATTCCATTTAATCATGTATCTCTAAAGTATACCTGTAATAAGCTAACATTTAAAACAGAAAATAGTTCTTATTTCAAGTGTTAAGTAGTCACAGGGCAAAAGAACAATTGTTCATTGTGCTCAGTACACTTAGAAGTAAACATATCAGACTAATGGTTCGTTAAACAACCATTCCTGCTCTATAACACAAGTTAGCTTTTTAAAATTTCTTTAACGAAACACTCAACCAATACTCATTAAGCAATCATTATGTCCCTCTTTCTGTAAAAACGATCATTTCACCTTTAACTAAAATTGTCACATCTAAAAAACTTTTAACTTGTAAAGTGCCTATAGAAAAACATATCAGAAAAGAAGAAATGGAACATATTGAATAAGAAATGGAACAAAAGGGCAACTGATTTCTCATCCTTTTTTTTCTCATCCACTTTTAAATCATTTCAATTAATGATGAGGAAAAAATGACCAAGAATAGTGCTAAGCAATAGAAGTTAATCTAAAACAGGATACAAACAGAATGCTAAGCCACTGACAAATGAAAGCTAAACCAATTTAAGTAAAGATTAAAATAGAAATTAGGTTAATACCAACAGCTGAGCAGAGAGAAGCTTCCCATGGTTAGCCACTAAGAACTCTTTTTTCATTCTACTATTAATTCCATTCCTCTATAAAGATAGTATTACTTAGCCCTAACCGGTTTGGCTCAGTGGATAGAGCGTCAGCCTGCGGACTCAAGGGTCCCAGGTTCGATTCCGGTCAAGGGCATGTACCTTGGTTGTGGGCACATCCCCAGTAGGGGGTGTGCGGGAGGCAGCTGATGGATGTTTCTCTCTCATCGATGTTTCTAACTCTCTATCCCTCTCCCTTCCTCTCTGTAAAAAAATCAATAAAATATATTTTAAAAAAGATAGTATTACTTAACCAAGCCAAAACAGAGCTATAAACTAAATACAGTTCATATTAGCACAATAGGACACCTTTGTTTCTGCTCTTATTACTCTAAAAAAATAATAGCCTTATATGATTTGAAAAAGACTATTGCAGAATGACAGACCTATAAAACTATATATTTTCTTGTATTTTTCCTCATAAAAATGCAGTTATGCAAATATACAATATATAATAGATATTTGAAGTTTAAAGGAAACAAACAGGGATACAAAAATCAATACACAGAAAAATTACAACATGTTTATTTCCCCCAGAAACAGTTTCAAAAGGAAAAATCCTATGAAAGTATATACTGTCCTCCCAACAGTTGTTTCCCTTTGCCAGTAGATGGTGCTAAGCTCCAGATGTGAGCACCATGAGCTATTTCACTAAAAAAAGATGACCTTTCCAATAAGTGCATCCACAGAATCCCTTAGTTTAACTTGCTAGTTTCAAGTACATTCCAAACACCACTCTATCTCTCAAATTAAAATCAAATGAACAAAGATTATATGTTCTCAACATCAAAACCTTACAAAATAGCCCTAGCTGGTTTGGCTCAGTGGATAGAGCGTCAGCCTGCGGACTGAAGGGTCCCGGGTTCGATTGCAGTCAAGGGCATGTACCTTGGTTGCGGGTGCATATCCCCAGTAGGGGGTGTGCAGGAGGCAGCTGATCGATGTTTTTCTCTCATCGATGTTTCTAACTCTCTATCCCTCTCCCTTCCTCTCTGTAAAAAATCAATAAAATATATTTTTTTAAAAAATAAAAAAATAAAAACCCTTACAAAATAGTGAAATATAATGCATGTATCATGTTTTATAATTAAGGGTCTGTGAGAACAGAGATAATGCTTGTGTTTCCAGAATCCAAAACAATCTACTACATAAGCACAGATGAAAGGACTAGATACCCTACGTTTTGAATCCTGCCTCCTTGGGCAAGTTATTTAACCCTTTTTGCCTCACCTTAGGCTTAAATGAGAATAAAATAGTACCTATCTTACAGGGTTCTTATGAGGTTTATGAAAGATAATATATGTAAAACACATAAAAAACTGTCTGGGACATAGTAAATATACATCAATGGTTGCTATTGTTGTTTTGTAATGACCAACAAAACTAGAATTGCTAAAATGCTCACCAGCAGAAGAATAAATAAAATATAGATATTAATATAATAAATTATGTAGCAGTGAGAGGGAATGTACTGTAGCTACATTCAAAATATAGATTAATGTCAGTAGCATAATGTTCAGTGAAGAAAACAATCCCAGAGAACTATATACAGTCATGTGTCACTTAACAGTGGGAATATGTTCTGAGAAATGTGTCGTTAGGCAATTCTGTTGTGCGAACATCATAGAGTGCACTTACAGGGGACATCAAAACTAATGGCAAGGTTCTGGGAAGATGGTAGCAGCGGTAGCAGCATAGATTTTGATCTCTTCAACTCTCCACATGAAAACAGACAAGGTATCTAGACAACAAAGCCAAAATCCCATCCACAACACCTAAAACAAACTATGAGACAAGGTACCCTTTCAAATCCCAAAATGCAGAGACAATTCACCAACACCCACAAGACCTTCACTGCTTGACAGGAAAAACAAAACAATAAGGTGGCAACTAATGAACCTAATAACAACTCCAAAATACCTATTATGTAGTCACTGCAAAGCATATCAGGCCAATGAGGAAAACATTGACAGTAGCTGAAATGAGGAGGGATTCTGGCACCTCTAATACTGCGTGAGACAAAAGGTCCATGATAAGAAGGTCTGAAAAGAGGTTGAATCAATTTAGTCACCATGAACTTTCAAAACTGATCCACCCAGACTATATTCTAGAACAAGTCCCACACTGAGAAGAAACTACTGGTGTAAAATCAAAACTGAGTAGAGTAGAACAACAGAAGAAAGAGGAGACCCAGACCAAAATGGGGAAGGAGAAAAGACCTAGGAAATCTCAGAATTCAGGCCAACCTCTTTAGAACACTGGATAAAAGCAACAGAGGCAGAGCTCTACGAAGTCAGAAAAACTTTCCTGAATTCCACCTCGTGCTAAAAGTTAAATAAACCTAATTACCCATAAAAGTGACCAACAGAAAAGGATCAGGGTAAAATCCCATACAAATGTACTATACGAAAAAAAGCAAAATAAATCCCTACAGACAATAAATCCCTACAGAAATCACTCAGGAAAATATGTCCATAAAACATATCAAAACTGCAACCTACTATTTTAAAACAGGCTAAAGACATTATGAAAGTGGTAACAATACATAGAAGAACAACATACATCACAATTAGAAAAACTGAGAACTGAAGGTAAAATACTCATGAAGTAAGAAACAAAATCATTTCACAAATGAAGACTAAACTGGAAGAAAAATAAAAATAAAAATATAACAGTGTCTTCAAAACACAAAATGGGAAAACATTTAAAAAAATTTTTTTTTCAGAATATGTTTTTATTGATTTCAGAGAGGAAGGGAGAGGGAGAGAGAGATAGAAACATCAATGATGAGAATCATTGATCGGCTGCCTCCTGCACGCCTCCTACTGGGGATCAAGTCTGCAACCCGGGCATGTGCCCTTGACTGGAATTGAACCCGGACCCGTCAGTCCACAGGCCGACGCTCTATCCACTGAGTCAAACCCAAACTAGCTGGGGCAACATTTTAAATTTTAAGAAAAAAGGTTCACTAAAGAAAAGCAAAGGAGAGACAATATATCAATAATAGGAGTTCCTGAAGAAAAGGGAAGAGCACAAATACTAAAATAACTTTCTCAATTAAAAAACAAATGTGTAGCTACTAAAAAGACATATCACATACCTAAGAATACTAACCCAGAATAAACATGCTAAGATGTAATTTGTTCAAATTTTTAGACTTTGAATATATGCACCCCTATGTTCACTGCAGCATTATTTACAATAGCCAAGATCTGGAAACAGCCCAAGTAGCCATTAATAGGTGGTGGGTAAAAAAGCTGTGGTACATTTACACATTGGAATACTACTCACCCATTAAAAAAGAGGAAATCTTACCTTTTGCAACAGCATAGATGACCTGGAGTATATTATGCTAAAGGAAATAAGTCAGTCAGAGAAAGAAATACCATATGATTTTATTTACATGTGGATCTAATGAACAAAATAAAAAGCAAAACAGAAACAGACTCATAGATACAGAGAACAGACTTGTAGCTGTCAGAGGGGAGAAGAAAGGGGGATTGGGTGAAAAAAGTGAAGGGATTAAGAAAAAAAAACAAAAAAACCTCATAGACAACAATATGATGATTACCAGAGGGCAAGGGGGCAGGAGAAGATGAGGGTAAAGGGGGAATAAATGGTAATGGAAGGAAATGACTTGGGGTGGTGAATACGATATATAATTTTATTAACTGATGTCACCCCAATAAATTTAATTAAAATATTATTAGACTTTACTGAGGGGGGATCTTTTGGGCACCTAGAAAAAAAAAAGCATGTGACTTATGAGGGAAAGAAAATTAAATGATCATCAGATTTTTTCAAGAAAACAGAGTAACATTTAAAGTATTCAAAGATAGAAAGTGTGGTCCAATGACTTTTATCCAGTAAAATTCACTTTCAAGTACAAAAGACACTAGCTTATGAACAGGTGAGAATTCAGGGACTACTGTTCTTGACGAATTAACTAGAGAATAACCTTTAGACAACCAAAGTTACTAGAGAGACAAAGACATACTAGGTGTACCAGTTAATAATGCAGATTTTTTTCAATAGATGGAGTTACACATATGTTGATATATATGCGATTTGATATGTATGCTATTTTGTTGTATTGACAGCAAGCTTCAAAACTTCATATGTCAAATTTGCTGAAGGTGTTAACATCATAGATATTTTTATGCTTAAAAATGTCGAATTTCGTGCCAAAAAAAAGAGAATTTGCGGGAAGTTTTAATTCATTACTTTATTTTGAAGAAAAGTGCTGCTGAATACTTCGGGAAGCTTATGGTGAAAATGCTCCATCTCAAGACACTTGTGAACGCTGTTTTAAAGGCTTTAAAAGTGATGATTTTGATGTGAAAGACAAAGAACGTCCAGGTCAACCGAAAAAGTTTGAAGACCAACAATTACAAGCATTATTGGATGAAGATGCATGTCAAACTCAAAAACAACTTGCAGAAAGATTAAGCATTGCTCAGCAAAGAATTTCCATTTATTTACAAGCAATGGGAAAGATTTTAAAGGAAGGAAAATGGGTGCCACATCAACTGAATGAAAGACAAATGGAAAACCGAAAAGTCATCAGTAAAATGTTGCTTCAAAGGTACGAAAGAAAATCTTTTTTGCATCGCATTGTGACTGACGATAAAAAGTGGATTTATGCCAAAACCGGTTTGGCTCAGTGGATAGAGCGTCGGCCTGCGGACTGAAAGGTCCCAGGTTCGATTCCGGTCAAGGGCATGTACCTGGGTTGCGGGCACATTCCCAGTAGGAGATGTGCAGGAGGCAGCTGATTGATGTTTCTCTCTCATCGATGTTTCTAACTCTCTCTCTCTCTCTCTCCCTTCCTCTCTGTGAAAAATCAATAAAATATATTAAAAAAAAAAAAAAGAAAACCACTACTTTAAAAAAAAAAAAAAGTGGATTTATTTTGAGAATCCCAAATGCACAAAATCATGGGTTGATCTAGGTCAACCATCAACATCGACTGCAAGGCCAAATAGCTTCGGAAAGAAGACAATGCTCTGCATTTGGTGGAATCAAGAAGGTGTGGTGTATTATGAGCTTCTAAAACCAGGTGAAACCATTAATACTGATCACTACCAACAACAAATAATCAATTTGAACCACGCTTTGATCGTGAAACAACCAGAATGTGCCAGAAGACACGGCAAAGTAATTTTGCTTCATGATGATGCACCATCACACACTTCAAAACCAGTTAAAGACATGTTGAAAGATCTTGCCTGGGAAGTATTAACCCACCCACCGTATTCACCAGACCTTGCTCCTTCAGATTACCACTTGTTCCGATGGATGGCACACGCACTTTCTGAGTGGCACTTCAAAAATGTACAAAGAAGTGGAAAATTGGGTCTCTGAATGGTTTGCCTCAAAACAAGAAAAGTTCTATTGGTACCGTATCCACAAATTACCTGAAGGATGGGGGAAATGTGTAGCTAGCGATGGACATTACTTTGAGTAAAGCACTTTTGATGTTTCTCTTGAAATTATCATGTTTTCTTTGATTACAAAATCCACCATTATTAACCGGTACACCTAGTAAGGATTGGTGATAAGCATTAAATACACAGTTAGCTATGAAACTAAGACTAAATAAGGATTAAGAAGAGTATATAGTATGAAAACGAATTTCGTGCACCGGGCTTCTAGTCCTATATAATAAAAGTGTAATATGCAAATAGTCCGAACAGCCGCAGTGGAACAACCTGGACGACCATCCGGGACAACACTATTACACCCACTGGTGCCAGGCCAGCCAAAGCGGGTGCGATGCGATTGGTCGGGGGCCCAGCCATCGCCCCATGATCATGTCACAGAGGGAGGCCCAGGCCACCGGCCGGCGGGCTATGGCGGGTAGGTGGGGCCTTCCTCTGCAGGGGAAGCCTGGGTCCCGGGTACCAGAGGGAAGCCGGTGCCGGCAACGGGGGGCGGGGGGAAGGAAGGCCTACTCTTGCACAAATTTTGTGCATCAGGCCTCTAGTTAATAAAATAAAGTCCCTGCTCTGGTAGGCTATTATTCTAGTGGAGTAAGACAAACCAACATGAAAAGAAATGAACAGATAATATGTCAGGTAATAATCAGTCTAAGAAGAAAAATAAAGGATGATGTGATAGTCATGAAAGAGGAGGTGCTATTTCATTCTGTCTGAAAAAAAAAGAAAATACGAAGCTTCTGGGGAATATTAGCAAGAGAGAAGACAGCACGCACAAAGGCATATTTTTCTTCACTTCAAAACTAAATTCAAAACAAATCAATGTTAAATCAGATAAGGCTCCCAAAAATCCAACAGAGTATGACTTTGGTATAGTTGGTCGCATTCTTGATTTTCTCCTGTGGTATGTCTATGTGTATGGGATACGTTCATAAGATAAACTATTTGGAGCCAAATATTTGATGGTCTTTCATATTTGAAATGCTTCCACTAAAGATACATTAAGACAATGGTAATAATACTGCCTCTGGGAGAGAATAAGAGAGAAGAAGGGTAAGAAAGAAACACACTTTGCACATAAAACCTTTGGGATTATTTGAGTTCCTTCCTTTGCATATGCATTAACTTTTCAATAACATAAAATATTTTTAAAGAAAAAAATTCCATTTACGAATAATTTACAAAACAAGGTTTTAAATAACTAATAGTCACCAAAAGGCAACTTACCAGATTGAAGATGCCAGTAATATATTAGTGGTGTTTGTAAGAAACCTCAATGGAGGCTCTGCAAGCAGTAAACAGGATAAAATTCCTCCACCAAAACAGTGGAGCATAGCAGTAAACCAACTTGAAATAGGATTCTTCCATGCCACTGCCACTGCTCCTGAAATGGTAAAGTAAAAATGATATGAGTTGTATATTAAATAACTCCCAAAATACCAGTAGCACTAAAGAAACAGCAACTTTTTAATTTCATAATTTTCAAAATGTATCACTACTCATGGGTGTGACAATCACAATCATCATGAATATCTTTTGTTCTTTAAATTAAGACTAAAAACATTTGTTAAGACATGGGTGGTTTGGGCAACATTAAAATACTCTGTTCAGGGTCTTATCGCCAGTTTCCTAGTAGCATAAACAATATTCACACCTACTATTTCCTTTCATTCCCAACCCTACTGTAAGTACTCCCAGGTGATATGTCAAAAAGATATACAGGCAGTCCTCGAGCTACATCGGACTCGACGTATGTCGTTTCATGGTTACGTCGCCATCTCCCATTTATTTATTAAAAAAAAAAGTTCCATCATTTTGACGTATGTACACATGTGCTTTATGTTTCTTATTATTTATTTACCACAAGTAAAGGTCAGGAATTGTTATCTTTTTTTAAAATTTATTTTACTGTTCACTTTATTACTGCTGTGTAAGTGCTCCATGTGAGTGACGTAGGTGCTTATGTAGGTGGGTTCCAACTTACGGCAAAAATCACATTACGTCGTGCCGTAGGAACGGATCTCCGATGTAACCTGAGGACCTACTGTATTAAGAAAAATGTATAATCTTAAGTACTTTAAAAAAAATGAAAGTTGAAATAAACTAAGCTTTCAACATGACAGGCTAGAAATAGAATAAAATAAACCCAAAGGCAAAAAGCTGATGAGGAACAGATATTTACATCATCACAAAATGTCTCTGAATGCTGCAACTAGGACTTCCAGCACTATCTTCTATAATAATAAAAGGGTAATATGCTAATTAGACTAGACGTCCTTCCATACGTCATTCTGGACGAAGCCAGAGCCGGAACGAAGCCTAGGTCCCAGGTGCCTGCGGGCGGCCGGAGGGAAGCCTGCCCAGGTCCCAGGTGCTAGAGGGAAGCCAGTGCCAGCAGCTGGGGGAAGGAAGGCCTACTCTTGCACGAATTTTGTGCACCAGGCATCTAGTGTTGAGTAAGAGTGGTGAAAGTGAACAACCCTGTCTTGCTCTTGATCTGAAGGGAAACACTTTTGGTTTTCCCCCACTGAGTATGATGTTGACTGTGCATTTGTCTTATATAATAGCCTTTATTATGTTAAGGTATGTTCCTCTCTATTCCCACTTTGCTGAGTTTTTTATCATAAACTAGAGGCCTGATACACAAAATTCGTGCAAGGGGCTCGGGCCCCTCTAGCCGCGGCAGCCGCCTTTGCCTCGGCCCCTGCCCACCGTAGTTTCATCCAGAAGGACATCCAGAAGGACATCCGGTCTAATTAGCATATTACACTTTTATTATTACAGATGGGTGCTGCATTTTGTCAAATACTTTTTCTGCATCTATTGATATGACCATATGATCTTTTTTTTTTTTTAATCCTCACCCAAGGATTTTTTTCAATTGATTTTTCAGACAGAGTGGAGGGAGGGAGAGGGGAGAGAAACATCAACATAAGAAAGACACATTGTTTGGCTGCCTCCAGCACGCACCCCGACCAGGAATCGAACCCAAGACCCTTTGGTCCATGGGCCAACGCTCCAAACATTGAGCAAACTGGCCATATGATCTTTATCCTAATTTTGTTTGTGATGCATCATAATAACTGTTTTGTGGATATTCTATCAACCTTGCATCCCCAGAATAAATTCCACTTGAACATGGTGTATGATCTTTTTAAGTATTGATGGATTCAATTTGCTATTTTGCTAAGGATTTTTGCATCTATTATTATCAGGGATATTGGTCTATATTTTCTTTCTTTGTAGTGTCCTTATCTGGTTTTGGAATTAAAATAATGTTAGCCTTATAAAATGACCTTGGAAGTCCTCCCTCCTCTTGAATTTTTTGGGATAGCTAGAGAAGGATAGGTGTTAGTTTTTCTTTAAATTTTTGGCAAAATTCACCTGTGAAGCCATCTAGTCCAGGACATTTGTTTGCTGGGAGTTTTTTTATCGCTGCTTTGGTTTCATTAGTTGTAGTCTGTTCAGATTTTGTTTCAGAAAAATGTATGTAACTAGGAATTAATCCATTTCTTTCAGATTGTCTGATTTTTTGGCATACAGTTGCTCATATTTTCTTATAATCCTTTGTATTTCTCTGGTGTCAGTTGTTACTTCTCTTTAATTTTTTTTAGTTATTTGGGTCCTCTCTCTTTCTTTCTTGATGAATATGATTAAAGGTTTGTCAATCTTGTTTGTTTTCAAAGAATCAGCTCTTGGTTTCACTGATCTTTTGTACTGTTTTTTTAGACTCTATTTTGTTTATTTCTAGTCTAATCTTTATTATATCCTTCCTTCTCTTCACTTTGGGCTTTTTCCTGTTCCTTTAGTTATAAGGTTAAATAGTTTATTTGATATTTTTATTATTTCTTGAGGTAGGCTAATATTGCTATAAATTCCCCTCTTAGGACTGCTTTCACTGTGTCCCATAGATTTTTGATGGTTGTGTTTTCATTTTTATATCTCTCAAGGTATCTTTTTTTTTTCCCTCAAGGTATCTTTTAATGTCTTCCTTGATCTCATTGACAACCAATTCATTGTTCAGTAACATGTTATTTAGTCTCCATGTGAATGTGTTTTTCAGTTTTTTTCCTGTAATTAATTTCTGGGAACATACAGATACACAGAATACCCAGAACAGGTGTGCAATAAATCAAATGTTAACTCTTATCTCTTGAGAAAAGCTTGGTATTTGGGAAGATGATCAAAGTGGCTTTAAATTTATTTTGATTATATTATTTAATTGTATTTGAATTATTTAAAATAAAATGTTCATTTATTATCTATATTTAAACAAGATTCTAACACATTATGTCATATCCTATCTGAGGAATACAATGCATCTATTCAAAAGAATGTAGCAACTTTACATGACAAAAAGAAAAACATATGTATATAAATAATATGTACAGGAAGAAATCATTAATGGGGGGGAAAAACAGAAAACCAAATATTTCTATAGGTACATACACATGTAAGTAATACATAAAATTAGGTCTGCAATAATATGCAACCAAACTATTAACTATTGTTACCTCTTAGGGCAGCAGTTCTCAACCTGTGGGTCTCGACCCCTTTGGGGGTTGAACGACCCTTTCACAGGGGTCGCCTAAGACCATCCTGCATATCAGATATTTACATTATGATTCATAACAGTAGCAACATTACAGCTATGAAGTAGCAACGAAAATAATTCTATGGTTGGGTAACAACATGAGGAACTGTATTTAAAGGGCCAGAAGGTTGAGAACCACTGTCTTAGGGGGAAGCTCACTTATGCAAAAATGAAAAACAAAGTAACTATGAAAATGTATATGCAAATTCAGTACAATAACATCATCATACTTGTATTAACATGGGAATGCATTCATATATACTCAGGAGAGAAAAAAAAAAGAGATATAAATATTTAAATAGTGCAACCCACCATTCCACACAATAAAATGTGCCCGGGAATGAACATGAGTTGGCAGATGTGAATTTTCTGTGGTGTACACATCCTGTCAAGAGAAGTGATGTCAAGGTTTAATGATACCCATCTGGTGACAACTCAAGAAATGGTGACCTGTTCCAATCTGGAAGAAAAATTAGTTACAAGAAACTTACTAAAAGACAGGATGTCAATCTCCAGTGTAGCAATAAACCAAAGAATTTTTAGAGTTATTTTGATGACACATGATCATGCTTGTCTTTATAGCTAATACCACTATTTCCCTAAATACATATATGTTGTTATCTATCTAAATATGTGTATAGGCACTGTTCAGTATTGCTGCATACAGTGATGACTGATTACATTGGTTAGTCAGCACAGTGTGATGTTCTGGTCAATGGACACTAGCTGCCATACTGAGCAATCCTCATGTTGAAAGGCAATAGAGAGTGCTTAATAGTATGGAGTCTATGCCCAGCCAGTGTGGCTAAGTGGTTGAGTGTCAACCCATGAACCAAGAGATCAACGGTTCAATTCCCGGTCAGGGCACATGCCTGGTTGCAGGCTCAATCCCCAGTCGGTGGTGTATAGGAGGTGGCCAATCAATGTTTCTCTTTCATCAATGTTTCTATCTCTCTATCACTCTCTCTTCCTCTCTCTCTAAAAATCAATAAAAACATAATTTTTTTTTAAGAGTATGTCATCTAGAGCTTAACTGCCCACAAATAAATCCTGGTTCCAGCACTTACCCTTTGTAGTGAACACAACAATTTTTTTGCTTTCCTATTTATTTATATCATATTACAATTAATTTCCCTTAATTGTATCACAAGTGAGGAAGGCTGCTATGATTGCACACCAGTTTTGTGATCTTTTTATACACCTTCTAACCTCCAAGCTTAAATTTCAACTTTCATAAAATGGGAATAATGCATAACTTATAAGGATTTAAGATGAGTGAATATACATAAAAACATGTATTTATTACCTAGTACATGGCACAGACTCTGTTGATTTATCTGCTGAGTGGCTTGATCATTGCCAGCAGGAAAAAAAGAGGTATGCAAAATGCAACCCTTGGGCTGCTTCTGACTCAGTTCTCTGAGCCCAAGCTATAATTCTTTTGAGCTCTTCTTGCAAAGTAGGGATGAGAAAGGCACATCATGGCACTGAAAAAGTACTCATAACACCAACCAGTCTTAAATCATTGAAACTAAGATCTTATTAGGGAAAAAAGAAAAGAACAGAGTTGAAGGGCGGGTCTCCCTCACATCAGTCCTAATTTTCAAAATTATGTCACCTAGAAAAATTTCTCTAACTCAAACTGGCCTTTCTATAACACTCTTTTCAGTACACACACTATGGTAACACATTTTACAGTAAGAGGAATTTATGATAAAGTTCTTTGGATGCTATGTTTCTTTGTATATACCATACTGGTATCAAAATTAGTTTAATGTGAAGTTAAACTA